TCCTGAGAAACCTGTAGGCAAGTCAAGAAGCAACAGTTAGAACTTTACATGGAAAAAAATGACTGGTTCAAAATTGGGAAAGGAGTACAACAAGGCTGTATATTGTCATTCTGTTTATTTAACTTATATGCAGAGTATATCATGCAAAATGCTGAGCTGGATGAGTTATAAGCTGGATTCAAGATTGCCGGGAGAATATCAACAACCTCAGATATGCAGATGATACCACTCTAATGGCAAAAATCAAAGAGGAACTAAAGAGCCTCTTGATGAAGGTGAAAGAAAAGAGTGAAAAAAGCTGGCTTAAAATTCAACATTGAAAAAACTAAGATCATGGCATCCGGTCCCATCACTTCATGGCAAATAGAAGGGGAAAAAGATGAAGCAGTGACCTATTTTCTCTTCTTTGGGCTCTAAAATCACTGTGGAGGGTGACTGCAGCCATGAAATTATAAGATACTTGTTTCTTAGAAGGAAAGCTGTGACAAGCCTAGACAGCATATTAAAAAGCAAAGACATCACTTTGCTAACAAAGTGTGTGTATAGTTAAAGCTATTGTCTTCCCAGTAGTCATGTACTGATGTGACAGTCAGACCATAAAGAAGTTGTGAACAGTTGATGCTTTTGAACTGTGGTGCTGGAGAAGATTCTTGAGAGTCCCTTGGACAGCAGGGAGGTCAAACCAGTCAATCCTAAAGAAAATCAACCCTGAATATTCATTGGAAGTACTGATGCTGAAGCTGAAGCTTCAGTACTTTGGCCACCGGATGTTAAGAGCCGAGTCATTAGAAAAGACCCTGATGCTGGGAAAGATCAGGAAAGGAGGGCAGCAGAGGATGAGATGGTTGGAAAGCATCACTGATTCAATGGACATGAACTTGGGCAAACTCTGGGAGATAGTGAGGGATAGGGAAGTATGGCGTGCTGCAGTCCATGGGTTCGCGAAGAATCAGACATGACTTAGCAACTGAACAACAACAACAGAGATTTAAAAAGACACTTGAGACTACTGAGGAGCGGAAAAGATGAAGGAGATGGAAGAGGGAAGGGACATAAAGAGACTCAGGATCTGCCAAGTCATATTATAAATATGCACAAGAAAACAGTGGAGAACGTGCTGGGTCACAAGAGAAATACAAGTTAAAGTTAATTACTGCACTGAATTCCTGTATTTCAAAATATAGGAAGGGTACTGATAGAGATATAAGAGCAGGGCTTTCTGAAACGAGTAGTCATAATTTGAAGGGACATTTGCTCTAAAATTCACATCAGAACCTCTCTTTTCAGATGGACCAACCTGAAGGGACAATAGAGTCCTTTGCTCTTAATAGGGGCCCATGATCCAATAAAACATAGAGCTGAAATGTACTCTTCATGTAAAAAATGCAATGTATCTATACCTTTCAGTACTTTTCTAAATAACAGACTTTTATTTTCTCTATAATTAAAAAAAAAAAAATCAGTTGAATGACATTGATCATTTTGTGGACTAGGCGTTTCCTTGGTAATTCTACCTGGAAGCCTTTGGAAATTCCAACAAATTCTCTTAGGTATAGGGTTAACAGGGTAGGGAACAGGGGGTGGAGGAGGAAGAAGACAATGGACTCATGCTGTTGACTTGAATATGATTAATTCTCAGGCAGTTAATGTGATTCCCTCTTCCCACTCTCTTTCACAGATGTCAAATAGGTCTGATGAAGAGGGAATGGAACAAGGGGAACTTTCCAAAACATTTTGTTTTGTTTCATTTTAAATACATAGCAAGTTGAAACTATGGAAACATCCTGTCAGCTTGATAGGATGTGGTAGAGAAAAGGGAAGTGGAGATAAGCTGAGGAATGGAGGAGGCTTTGAATATGTATCTGATTAGGGAATGTATAGTCTTTGTAATAGGCAACAGAGAAAATCCTGGATTTTGAATGTATTTTTAAAATACATAACTAGATTCCTAATTAGAGGAAACATGTTGAAACAGGATAGTCTTTTTTCCAACTGTAGAAATAAATTTCATGCACAGAAGATGTTAAGGGTTATTGTTTATTTTATTCTTGAACTCTTCCAAGAACTATGATATGTTCAGTATATAGTTTCCCTAGATTATTATTTTAACAGTATTGCCAGGCGAGTTAACCCAAAATTAATCCTGAGAGAGTCAAAATTGCAGTCCAGCCAACATTTGACATATGCAAACAAAGATTTACATATTCCAACTGTCCCTCCAACCAGAATTCATATCCTTTCCCAATTTCATAAAGGAAATATTCTCTCCTGATGTTTCCGTTGATATGGGAGGTCAAAGAATTAAGTGTTCCTTTTCTTTCTAAAAGCGTGTTTGACATGGGGACCTTGGATATCTTTCTGCAGCCCAACCTTTGTCTAAGTCAGATTCTAATAATATCATGACCCATAACCCTTTGTTTCAAATTAATTTCTGCAGGAAATTGATGGTAAGGTAATGTCTATTTAAATACTGATTTTTTTTGAGTTGCTTTCACTTGCCCTTTCCCTTTCTCTTCCCAGAAGTTGAAAGGAGATATTAGTGAAAAGGCTAACAGCATTTAAACAGTCCATTCTAAATGTTTTCCTCCATTTAAGTTTGTTCACTCCCTTTCTCCTCCCCCAGATTATAACCATATGATTTTAGTAGAATTTCATCTCAAATCCTGTTTTTGAGCAATTAACATTTCTGTTTTCAGGTCATCTTAAACCATCACATGAATGTACTAAAAGTATTTAATAAAATTACACTGACTTACAGTTTTGACTTTAAGATGATTTATAAAGCAAGAGTCCAATCTAAAATCAAATGCAATTGGAAGAAATAAATTTGTAAAGTATGTAATTTTTATCTTAGTTCAAATTTTGAAGGATGTGTTTTCATTGCATGACATCCCATAATTATATAACAGCTACTTGTTACAGAATGTACAACTCTGCTTTATAGAAAGTTCCAACATGAGTTGGAACTGTGCAAGTCCACTTACATGCATCTTATTTTCCATAAATACATACTACAGTACCCCATGACCCATGGTTGGTTGAATCTGTAGAGTGGAACTGTGGATATAGAGGGTCGACCTCAAGAGTTATATGTGGATTTTCAACTACACAGAGAGTCCTCATCTCCATGTTGTTCAAGGGTCAACTATATAATAAAAATCCCTGTGAGATAAATGTGACTGCTGTGGACTGAACTGTGTTGCCTCAAAATTCATACGTTGAAACTGTAAGTCCCAGAGTAACTATATTTAGAGACAGAGCTTTTAGGAAGTCAGTAGAGTTAATTGAGGTCATAAGGATGGGGTCCTAATTCACTAAGACTGGTGGCTTCATAAGTAGAGAAGAGAGAAATCTCTTTCTTTTCTTGTGAAGTGTATGCACTCGGGAAAGGCCATGTGAGTTCACAGTGGGAGGTGGCTGTCTAAAAACCAGGAAGAGAGCCCTTACTAAACCCCAACCGTTCTGGAAGCCTGATTTTGAACTTCCAACCTTCAGAACTGTGAGAAAATAAATTTATGTTGTTTAATCCACCCAGTCTATGGCCTGAGATGACTAATACATGACTGTTCCCATTTTGTCGATTAGGAAGCAAACTTAGAGGTCAGTGGCAAAACTAACATTTAAATTTGATGTGTCCAAGTACAAATGAGAGTCCTCTCTAAGGACTGCCCTCTGAATTTGAGTCTGAAAATAATTACTATAGATAGCCCTCAAAGAAATACCAAACCCTTCATCTGTGGTTTGTTTGTATATGCATACCTTGGAGATATTGGATGTTCATTTCCATACCACTGAAATACGGAGAGTTACACGAATTTTCTGGTTTCCCAGTGTATTTAAAAGTATACTTACAATAGGCCATAGTCTATTAAGTGTGCATTATGTGTTAAAAAACAATGAACAGTTCTATTTCCAGTTTTTTAAGGAATCTCCACACTGTTCTCCATAGTGGCTGTACTAGTTTGCATTCCCACCACAGATCACCAGCCCAGGTTGGATGCATGAGACAAGTGCTCAGGGCTGGTGCACTGGGAAGACCCAGAGGGATGGGATGGAGAGGGAGATGGGAGGGGGGATCGGGATGGGGAACACATGTAAATCCATGGCTGATTCATGTCAATCTTTGGCAAAAACCACTACAATATAATAAAAAAATTAAATTAAAAAAAATAAACTTAGGCTTTTTCAAAGTTTGATACTATAAAAAAAAACAATGAACAAAGCTAATTAAACAATGCTTTATTGTTAAAAATTGCTAGCTATATCTGAGTCTTCAGTGAATCTTAGAAGTAACATCCAAGATTACTGATCACAGATCACAATAATAGTCAGAAAATTTAAAATATGTGACACAAAGACACAAATTGAGCAAATGCTGTTGGAGAAATGGTACTGGCAAACTTGCTTCACGCAAGGTTGCCACCAACCTTCAACTTGTAAAGAAAAACACAGTATCTATGAAACTCAATAAAGCAAAGCATAATAAAATGAGGTGTGCCTGTATTTTTGTTTTTCCTAGGTTTAGCAGAAACACACAAAGACAGTTGATTCTGTTTAGCCCTATTCCTTATCGTCTGATTTTTGTCTTCTAGCAGAATGTTATTATTTGAGCTCTCAGAATTTCAGGTTAATGTTGAAAAACGTAGGCAACCTTCCCGAAATTACAGTGTTCAGAAATCAAGATTTACTGCTGCTTTCATATTAAACTCAAAATATCCAGTTTTGTGCCTGAGACTAATTGGCAGTGTCCCATTAAACTGTATTAAAATTAACATCTATTAATTGGATTAGAAATTCAGTGAGAATGACAGCTGCTAGTGCCTTTTACAGTTGCTTTGTTTCTCTATAATCCATATGGCAGGAATCACATAATGTATTTTTCCCCTTTGAAATAGATACTTGAGATGAAAAGGTTTAACTCAGTGTGGTCAGGGTATGTGTACTTGTTTTCTTTTAAAAAAAATTATAAAAGCTGAACCATTTTTTTCCCTCATTCACAGGTTTTCACCAGCCATATTTTTATATCTGATTAGCATTGTTCCATCATTATGGCTTCTTGAAATGCACCATGAAACCCAGGTATGTACTTTTGGAAAGTTGAATACTCAGCAATAAACTACATTCCTATTATAATCCAATTTCTGTCAGAAATGCACTTTTCTAAGGAACTGGGGTTATCAAGAATTGAATAAATAACAGCCCTCAGCAAAAAGGAAATGAATCCATGATCTGTCTAAACTAATAAAAGTGTTGCTTTCATTTAAGATTTAAGAGTATTCATTAATAATCTGGGTTAGAGATCTTGTTCCTAACACTTCCCCTCCAATATGCTACAGTTTACATGGGAGTATACAATTTTGGCTTTATCGCTTGCAGTTTCAGTGAGTTACTGAACTAGGAATGGGCAGGGCTCTGTATGACAGACTGTTGTTCTCAGTCGCTCAGTCATGTCGGACTCTGCGACCCCATGGATCCTAGCCTGCCAGGCTCCTCTGTCTATGGAAGTTTTCAGGCAAGAATACTGGAGTGAGTTGCCATTTCCAACTCCAGGGAATCTTCTGGACCCAGGGATTGGATCCATGTCTCTTGCATCTCCTGCACTGACATCTTCCCACTGAGCCACCTGGGAAGCCCAGTGACAGTTTCTTAGAGTGAAGTAAATCAGAAAGAGAGAAAAAAATAACATATATTAATGCATATATGTGGAATTTGAAAACAGCATTGGTATGGATGATCTTATTTACAAAGCAGACATATAAGACATATAAGACACAGACATAGAGAACAAACATATGGAGACCAAGGGAATGGAGGGTGGGTGAGATGAATTGGGAAATTGAGATTGATGTATATACACTATTGATACTATGTACAAAATAGATAACTAATGGATAGCCAATGAGAACTTACTGTATAACTCAGGGAACCCTTCTCAGTGCTCCATGGTAACCTAAATGGGAAAGAAATTCAAAAGAGCTATATGTGTATGCATACATATAGCTGATTCACTTTGCTGTACAGAAGAAACTAATACAATATTATAAAGCAACTATACCCCAATAAAAATTTTAAAAAAAGAATGGGCAAGGCTCAATCATCTAGCATCCTATAAAATGACATTTTCCCCTTTGGCTCAGGGGTAAAGAATCCGTCTGCAATGCAGGAGCTGTAGGAGACATAGGTTTGATCCCTGGGTTGGGAAGACCCCTGGAGGAAGGCGTGACAATCCACCGCAGTATTCTTGCCTGGAGAATCCCATGGACAGAGGAGCCAGGTGGGCAATAGTTCATAGGATCACAAAGGGTCCAACACGACTGAAGCAACTTAGCACATGTGCACAGGAACAACAAAAACAAAACCAAAACTCCATCATCTGTACTCTGCTATCAAATACTGTCAAACTTGGAAGGGCTATTTGAAATAGTCTGTTTTAAAATACAGGCTTTGCAGGTTATAGGAGGTCCTAAGAGCTGTCTTAGTAAAATATGAATTTCATTCAAGTGCCCCAAAATAAGTGTAAAGGAGAGGAACCAGGGAACCCATGATCAGGAAGGGTAGGCTATATATATTAAGACCACACTGACCTAGAAAAGAACCAGTGGCTTCCAATATGAGTCCCTAATCTATAAATAGAGCTACTGATTTAATTTTTTTAATTTCTTTAATTGAAGGATAATTGCTTTACAATGTTGTGCTGGTTTATGTTGTACAACAACATGAATAAACTATAAGTATACTTATATCCCCTCCTGCCCGAACCTCCCTCCCACGCCTCTCCCCATCCTGGTCTAGAGAGAGGTGCTGATTTTTCAGTGAGTTACTTCTTATATGGGCAAACCTAGGTAGCAGGATCTAGGCTGGATTCAGCCACTGATTGTCATCAGTGCTCCTCTATGACACTGGAGTGGGGCAGTTAGTCCAGTCCATTAGACTGCAGCCTGGACTTCACGTCTTCAGGGCTCAGGTTACAGGGTTATGTTTTACAGATGAACTGTAGTTATGATAAAATCACATTGTAGTATCTTTACTGGTAAAATCTGTGAGACTCTCACAGATTTCTTTGCTACAGTAGGTCACTTGGTAGCAAAGTTAAGCCTCTGATACATGTTTCAGATATTCAAACCTTATCTGGGAAATGCTTCCTCAAAATTTTAGGCAAACAGAGGGGAGTTTAGTTCTGTGGACTAGTTTTGTGGAATTCCAAAGCATGTACCAATAATGTAGGCATGAAGAAGACATCTGTCTGCCTAAATCTCCTGTCTAAAGAATATTAATGTCAAAGGCTATCTCTATGTTTGTAGCAAAAGAATTTTTGTCACAGTAGATTGGTTGCCTCAAGTTACCATAGCTTTTAAAATATATATGATAAGAATATCAGGAAAAGTGAAAGTGAAGTCACTCAAGATGTGTTCGACTCTTTGCAACCCCATGAACTGTAGCCTACCAGGCTTCTCCCATCCATGAGATTTTCCAGGCAAGAATACTGGAGTGGGTTGCTATTTCCTTCTCCAGGAGATCTTCCTAACCCAGGGATTGAACCCAGGTCTCCCAAACTGTAGGCAGGTGCTTTACCATCTGAGCCACCAGACTGTTTCAATTTCCTTACTACTTACTACTTTCAAGGGTACGGGAATAAGCTCTGGTGACTTGAATCACCAATTCTATGACATGGTTATCATCCACAATAGCAATTCATTTCCCCAAATGCTTTTATAGTATAAATGCTTTGCACAGTTAATTGATATACAGGTCAAATCCCATTACAACAAATAGCATGCAACCAAAAACTCTCTTTTTAATAATAAAAAAAAAAAAAAGATGTTTGAGCCCCGGGCAGTACCTCTCTAATTTTCATACTACAAAAGAAATTGGACCTTTAGTAGTAATGGATCTGACTCATTTTGACACTGAGAATGAAAATGAATGCCCAGATTGTGAACTAGGCAGGGTGACAGAGTTGGAAGTAGAAAAAATTGAGAGAGAGACAAAAAAGTGTTGGAATTGCATTTAAAGAAATTAAAAATGTCAGAATAAAGGAAGGTACAGAAATTCTTAGTCTATTCATGTAGGAAATCTTGGTTATGATAATAATCATATCATACATTTTCATATAGTTCTTTATTTCAAACTATTTTCAGATACTTCTCTCATTTTCTCATTCGTATACCCAGCAACTCCTTAAGTTAGGCATGGTGTGTAGATTTCTATTTTAGAGAATAGGAACGTGAAACTCAGCAAGGTTAAGTGATTTTCCCAAGGCCACACAGCTGATCAACAGCAGTTCTGGGGTTTAGAACCTGGGTCTTAACCCCTAGTTCATTAAATCACACTGCCTTTTTCAATCATGTGTTTTGTGTTTTACAGGAATTTGCATCAAAATCATCTGAATGTTTCATGATGGAAAAGGATAATTTAATTTGCTTTCACATTTTCCATTTTCTCTACACCCTAAGCATTCTAACCTATGACTTGGCATTTGAAAAACATCCTGACCTATTTCACGACAACATTTCTCTTAGATGATCAATTCTGTATCTTCACTTCTGAATCTGACTGGGTCTACATGAATGGAAAAAAAATGTTTGTGACAACAATTATGACCTTAAATCTTAGTCAAGTCTATTTATGAATTGGCACAGTTAATGCAATGGAAATATTCTAGTCTTGAAGATGTCACAGTCTGGTTTGAACTGAAGGAATATTTTTGAAGCTTTTAAAGATTTTCAGACATAGACCATGAAAAAGTGACTCTTTGGCACCCAGATCATCCATGTAACTCATTTATATAATGCTGATTGTAAACAATATTACCATAAAACCAATATAAGTCAGGTTAGGTCTTAGGAGTTTGTTCTGTGCAATCCAATACAACTGCCACTTAAAGTTGTATCAATTTATAACAAACAGAATTCTAAGAATGAACAGGGACTCAGGTCTTTATACCATAATATGAACTACAAAACCATTTGCTATCATGTTATTTTATGCTGCAGTACAGATGACTATTTTTTAAAAATAACAAGATGTCTATGGATTTTTAGTGATAAAAATGTGAAAAATATATCAAGGTCACCACTTTTAATATACAATCTGCTTTCATGCCTGCAAAGAAGTGTTCAAATATGTTTCCTATTGAACATTAGGTTCTTAGAGTCACAGAACTCCTGCAATGAGGATTTGTTGCTTGGTTCAAAAATTTAATTTGTTATCTTCATTATCTTTTCTTGGAGCCTTAGCCATATTAAAAAAAAAAGTGTGCAAACAACTACATTTTTGCTCTTAGAGATATGGCACATGGCCATTTTTCTTAATTATTCTTGTCATTTCACCCATAACACTAGTTTGTGTTTTTTTTTCCCATCCATAACACTAGTTGTTTTGATGGAAGGGAAGAAAATAGCTTCTTGACAGACTTTCCTTTCTACTTTTCCAAGTAGCTCATAGAATGATCAATGAAGTATCCAGAATTAATTAAGAAAAATATACTTCTCAGTGATAGCATTTAAAAAAAGTTCTCTCTAAATCCAAGTGTGTGATCATGGCTGTGCAATGGTGGTTGTGTGTGTGTGTGTGTGTGTGTGTGTGTGTGTGTGTGTGTGCACTTTAAATGTATGTTAGCTCTGCAGATTTTTTAAAAATCAGTCTGTTTTTTTAATGAGTTTGTGAAATAATCATTGGCTACACTTACATTTTCGGTACCACACCTTTCCTCTCTTATGTACTTTTCTCTTTTCTTTCTCTACCTCAGAGTCCCAGCTTCTGATTGGATTAAAAATCACACATAGTTCACATAAAGAAATTTACATGCAAAATGAAAGAATAAGGAGGGGGAAATGCCATTTATTTTAGGTCTATTGTTAACTTTTCTATAAATCTAAATTGGCTTCTAGAGTGATGTAAAATCTCTGTGTTGATGGGTGGATATGTTAATTTATTATTATCATTTTTGGGGGGTTGTTACAGTGCTTAACAGGAATGACTGAAAGAAACTGAATTACCTACATTAGCAAAATGGTATTTTAGATAAAGAGGCTCTGAACAAGTAATAAAATCATAGAATGAATGCTTTGACCAGGATCATACATGCTTTCAGTGGTTGTTGGTTTGTTTTATAAATTGTTCCAGGATTTAAGAAAGGGACCGCCAAGATCAATTCATAAATTCTACAGCTCTCCACAATGAACTTAGAGCATCTACAGCCTCATAGACTTGTGGGAAAATGAGATGTGTATAGTTGATTCTTTTCTCATATTAACTGAAAAGTGGTTTCTATCTCAAGGCTATATTCTGATTTTTGAAAATATTTATGCATACTACAGCAACTACACATCTTTGCTCATAATCTCTTAGATACACTGAAGCCACCTTAAACGCTGCCTACTGTGATATTTTCTGACACATTGCTTTTTAAAAATACTTCTTAGTATTGCAGTAGCCAATCTGGAGGATTGTCACAGAATACCAGCAGAAAAGAAGACTTCAATCAAACTCTGTTGTCAGCTGAACGAACCAACAGAGCAGATGATCTCATTGAGACGGTGAGAGCTTTCTCATTGTATGTTAAGGGATCTAACAAATCACCTTTTCACTTGGTGAGAATACCACTTTCTATACTTTTCAGCTCATTCTTCCCTAGGGAAATTCGCCAATAGTTTGGCTCAGAAAGTCACAAGATAATTGTATTTTGAAATATTATTGAACATATTTAACAAGCCTAATGGGCATATATATCTTATATGCATTAATAAATATATTTAACTTGCAGTATTAAGGAATCTTTAACACTTAGATCAGATGACCTATGTACAAAGAGAGATACACACAATTGTGTAAGAATGATATAATGTAAAGATTGGGATCTGCCCTATATATTTTTTTAATTAATTTATTTTTTAATGAAGGATAACTGCTTTACAGAATTTTGTTGTTTTCTGTCAAAGCTCAGCATGAATCAGCCAGAGAAATACATATATCCCCTCCCTTTTGAAACTCCCTCCCATCTTCTTCCCCATCCCACCCCTCTAGGTTGATACAGGGCCCCTCTTTGAGTTTCCTGAGCCATACAGCAAATTCCTATTGGCTATCTATTTTACATATGATAATGTAAGTTTCCATGTTACTCTTTCCATACATCTCACCCTTTCCTCCCCTCTCCCCATGTCCATAAGTCTGTTCTCTATGTCTGTTTCTCCATTGCTGTCCTATAAATAAACTCTTCAGTGCCATCTTTCTAGATTTCATATATATGCATTAGAATACAATATTTATCTTTCTCCTTCTGACTCACTTCACTCTGTATAATCGGTTCTAGGTTCATCCACCTCATTACAACTGACTCAGATGTGTTCCTTTTATGGCATTCCTTTTATACATTCCTTTTATGTGTTCCTTTTATACATTGTGTGTATGTACCACAACTTCTTTATCTGTCTATGGACATCTTGGTTGCTTCCATGTTCTAGCTACTGTAAACAGTGCTGCAATGAACACGTGTCTTTTTCAATTTTGCCTTCCTCAGGGTATATGCCTAGGAGTGAGATTGCTGGGTCATATGGTGGCTTTATTCCTCGTTTTCTAAGGAATCTCCATACCGTCTTCCATAGTGGCTGTATCAGTTTACATCCCCACCAACAATACAGGAGCATTCCCTTTTCTCCACATCCTCTCCAGCATTTATTGTTCGTAGACTTTTTGATGATGGCCATCCTGACTGGTGTGAGGTGATATCTCATTGTAGTTTTGATTTGCATTTCTCTAATAATGAGGGATGTTGAGCATCTTTTCATGTGTTTGTTAGCCATCTGTATGTCTTCTTTGGAGAAATGTCTGCTTAGGTCTTTTTCCCACTTTTTGCTTGGGTTGTTTGTTTTTCTGGTATTAAGTTGTATGGGCTTCTTGTATATTTTGGAAATTAATCCTTTGTCAGTTGTTTCATTTGCTATTATTTATTCCCATTCCAAGAGTTGTCTTTTCACCTTGCTTATAGTTTCCTTTGCTGTGCAAAAGCTTTCAAGTTTAATCAGGTCCCACTTGTCTACTTTAGTTTTTATTTCTGTTACTCTAGGAGGTGGGTCATAGAGGATCTTGCTTTGATTTACATCATCGAGTGTTCTACCTATATTTTCCTCTAAGAGTTTTATAATTTCTGGTCTTGCCTTTAGGTCTTTAATCCATTTTGAGTTTATCTTTCTGTATGGTGTTAGGAAGTGTACTAATTTCATTCTTTTATAGGCAGCTGTTCAATTTTCCCAGTACCATTTATCGAAGAGGCTGTCTTTGCCCCATTGTATATTCTTGCCTCCTTTGTCGAAAATAAGGTACCCATAAGTGCATGGGTTTATTTTTGGCTTTCTATCTTGTCTCATAGGTCTATATTTCTGTTTTTGTGCCAGGACCATATTGTCTTGATGACTGTAGCTTTGTATTATAACCTGAAGTCAGGAAGGTTGATTCCTCCAGCCCCATTCTTCTTTCTCAAGACTGCTTTGGCTATTTGGGGTCTTTTATGTTTCTATATGAACTGTGAAATTTTTTGTTTTAGTTCTGTGAAAAACGCCATGGGTAATTTGATAAGGATCACATTGAATCTGTAGATTGCATTTGGTAGTATAGTCATTTTCACAATATTGATTCTTCCTACTTAGGAACATGAAATATCTCTCCATCTGTTTATATCATCTTTGACTTTCATTAGTGTCTTATAAGTTTCTGTGTACAGTTCTTTTGCCTCCTTAGGTAAGTTTATTCCTAGATATTTTATTCTTTTTGGTGCAGTGGTGAATGGAATTGATTCCTTAATTTCTCTTTCTGATTTTTCAGTTAGTATATAGAAATGCACATGATTTCTGTGTATTAATTTTGTATCACCCAACTTTACTAAATTCACTGATTAGCTCTAGTAATTATCTGATATTGTCTTTAGGGCTTTCCATGTACAGTATCATGTCATCTGCAAACAGTGAGAGCTTTACTTCTTCTTTGTGATCTGTATTCCTTTTATTTCTTTTTCTTCTCTGGTTGCTGTAGCTAGGACTTCCCAGAACTATGTTGAATAATAGTGGTGAAAGTAGACACCCTTGTCTTGTTCCTGATCTTAGGGGGAATGCTTTCAGTTTTTCACCATTGAGAATAATGTTTGCTGTAGGCTTATCATATATGGCCTTTACTATGTTGAGGTAGGCTCCCTCTATGCCCATTTTTTTGAAGCATTTTAATCATAAATGGGTGCTGAATTTTTTCAGAGGCTTTTTCTGCATCTACTGAAATGATCATATGATTTTTATCTTTCAAGTTGTTAATATGGTGTATCACATTGATTGACTTCTGTATATTGAAGAATTCTTGCATCGCTGGAATAAACCCAATTTGATCATAGTGTATGAGCTTTCTGATGTGTTGCTGAATTCTGTTTGCTAAAATTTTGTTAAGGATTTTTGTATCTACATTCATCAGTGATATTGGCCTATAGTTTTCTTTTTTTGTGTGTTATCTTTATCTGGTTTTGGTATCAGGGTGATGGTGGCCTCGTAGAATGAGTTTGGAAGTGTTCTTTCCTCAAGGATAGGTATTAGCTCCTCTCTAAATATTTGATAGAATTCTCCTGTGAAGCCATCTGGTCCTGGGCTTTTGTTTTTTTGGCAGATTTTTTATCAAAGCTTCCATTGCAGTACTTGCAATTGGGTTGTTCCTAATTTCTCTTTCTTCCTGGTTCAGTCTTGGAAGATTGAACTTTTCTAATACTCTGTCCATTTCTTCCAGGTTATCCATCTTATTGCCATATAGTTGTTCATAATAGTCTCTTATAATCATTTGTATTTCTGCATTATCTGTTGTCACCTCTCCTTTTTCATTTCTAATTTTGTTGATTTGATTCTTCTCTCTTTTCTTCTTGATGAGTCTGGCTAAAGATTTGTCACTTTTGTTTATCTTCTCAAAGAACCATCTTTAAGTTTAATTAACTTTTGCTATTGTTTCTTTCTTTATTTTTCATTTATTTCTGCTCAGATGTTTATCATTTCTTTCCTTCTACTAATTTTGGGTTTTGTGTTTTGTTGTCATTGTTGTTGTTCTTTTTCCAGTTGTTTTAGGTGTAAATTTAGGTTGTCTATTCAATGTTTTTCTTGTTTCTTGAGGTAGGATTATATTGCTATAAACTTCCCTCTTAGAACTGATTTTGCTGCATCCCATAGGTTTTGAGTTGTAATGTTTTATTGTAATTTGTTTCTATAAATTTTTTTATTTGCCTTTTGATTTCTTCTGTAACCTGTTCATTATTTATTAATGTGTTGTTTAATCTCCATGTGTTTGTGTTTCTTACAGCTTTTTTCTTATAACTGATATCTAGCTTCATAGCACTGTGGTTGGAGAAGATGCTTGATACAATTTCAATTTTTTTAAATAACTGAGGTTTGATTTGTGACACAAGATGTGGTCTATCCTGGAGAATGTTCCGTGTGCACTTGAGAAGGTATTCTGCATTTTGATGGAACGTCTTGAAAATATCAATGAGACCCATCTCATCTAATGTATCATTTAAGACTTGTGTTTCCTTATTCATTTTCTGTGTTGATGATCTGTGCATTGGTGTGAGTGGGATGTTAAAATCTTCTACTATTATTGTGTTACTGTCAATTTTTTCTTTTATGTCTGTTAGTGTTTGTCTTATGTATTAAGGTGTTCCTATGTTGGGTGCATAGATATTTACAATTGTCCTGTCTTCCTCTTGGATTGATCCTTTGATCACTCTGTAGTGTCCTTCCTTGTAGCTTGTAATCTTTATTTTAAGGTCTATTTTGTCTGATATGAGGATGGCTACTCCAGCTTTCCTTTGCTTCCCATTTGCATGGAATATATTTTTCCATCCTCTCACTTTCAGTCTATATGTGTCCTTAGGTCTGATGTGGGTTTCTTGCATGTTGGTCCTTTAATGGACCAGAACCTGGTGGCCCAGAGAGTAAGAGAGAGAGAGAGAGGCTGATATCCCCTGGTTTACATGGAAAGCCAATAGAGTCCTGTTCTTAGGGCTCATGCTGCTGCACATAGGCACCAGGCGCCCTCCCGAATGGGTGGCACAGCATGCCTTCTCAAGAGGGTCTTAGAAGCCTGGGCAAGAAAGTGAGCTCAGCGGGCCTCCACACTCCAAGGAATTAGTCAGAAATAGAGAAAGAGAGAGAAAGACAGAAAGAAGGAATAGAAAGAAAGAAGACACGGGGACCAAAGCTCTGATGGAGCAGAGGTGTTTTAATCAGCATGGCGTGGGCATATATACTGTCTTACAAGGTGGTTATTCTCAGCAAAGACAAAGATTAAAATTCCAGACTTACAAAACATAAGATGATCCCTATCAAAGAGAGAGTTGCAAACAATCACCTTTTACCATTTGGCTCATAAAAAGGAAGAGGGTACTTATCACTGTAATGAGAAACGCCTGGATTCCTCAGCCCTGGGAAAGGCGCGCCTCTCCTCTTAATTCCTGAATATTCAGGAATCAATAAGGGCCAGAGGGTTCCTGACAGATCCAAGACAGCACACGGGAAGC